GTTTCTACTTCCTGCAAATTGAATTTAAAACTAAGGTGCTGATCTTTATAATGGTTTTCAGTCATCAGGCTGTATCAATAATGAAATAAAGTTACCTGAGATGCATTCTTTGATTGTTTTTGATGATTCTGTGCCTATATAATGGGCCAGTCCGTGGGCCTTATGTACTTATCTGAATTTAAGAGTAAGTAGCTAAACAGTGAATGTATCTTGGACCATAAACTGAGCATAGGCCAAGCACAGAGAATATTTTCATTTAAGTTTCATAATGTTGTTGAACTGTGGGTGAATACTCTTCAGCCTGGTTGTCAGTGTCACTTAATATTAAACAGAATTTATTCATTTAAAATTTAGGCACTTGAACTTAGCTTCTACATTTTTCTGTTAGAGCTAAAATAGAAGTTGCTTTGCAAAATTCAGGGTAAAATTTGACACTGTGGTAAAATTTAGACAACCGTCACTTTTAAATACTCGTCAAAAGGGTTATGGAAGCTACAGTATTTCTGCACAAATGACTCAGTTTATTAATTTATCGATTCACTATATACCTATTGAGGTGTTTAATTGTTATGTTAAAAGATGAAGACAATGCAGAAATACTCCAAACCACCAAAGTGAGTCTGAGACAAGAAATCAGTATTCCAAAAATTGGAAATAAGCAAGTAAATGAATACTGAAACTGTAAACTTGACTTCCTTTGTCATCAGTAAGTACCAATGTCTCTTCAATATAAATATTTTCTTCCGCATCAGAAATTTCACCTTAAAGGCCATTTCTTTTTTCTGACTTGCATCAGAAATGGCCAATGGCTATCATAGGTCATGGTAAAATGACCACAACAATAGGGTATCTGGCATGTTTCAGGTTGCTGTGCCCTGGATATCTGGGATTTGCAAGTTAACTGTGAAACCAAAAGACAAAGGGCAGGCAGCTGTAATGGGAGCTTTTAGCTGCTCTTTGATATATGCACTGGCCTTAAACATGGTCAGTCAATAACTCTGAATTAATACATGCAAATAACAGCCCCAAATAATAGAACAAACACCTAAATTTAACTATGATGCTAAATATGATATGATTTCTAAATCACATGCTAAAATAAGATATCACCTTATTATGACTGGGACACAGACTGGCAATTAGTCCAGTTAGGATCGTAGAAGCCTTCTCAGTAGTTGCACTTTAGTTGGACATTGGCCATGGCTAACACCTCCATGTGCTGAAAAGGACACTCAGGGGTAGGAGTTGGGAAAGTGTTCGGAGTATGGTTGGGGGGCATCCAGAGCCTAAAGATCCAACAAGCCAGCAGGAGTTGGGTCATGATGTGGGCCATGATCTAACTGAAAACACCAGCCAGCCAAGCTGAGCAGTTTAGATGTTATCTTGTGTGCCAATGGGATCATCTGAATAAAAAATTCTAGATCTAAGCTTAGAAAATAAAACAGCAGACTGAAGAGGTCAGCTGTAGTGGTATAAGTAGGTTGCTTCACCTCGACTGTAGGGCAATGAGAACCTGAGCTTTGGAAGTGGCACCTGGAATGTGAAAAGTCTGCCGTGTAAAATGCACTTATCCTACAAAAAGTGAATTACTCTTTCTAAATCTAATTATTCAGAATAGGTACCAACAATCCAGATGCTACTAGAGAGAGAAAAAGAGTAGGTAAGTAGGTTCAGTAAGAACTTAAGGTTACAAATGATATTGGCCAAAGAAGCACACATGTTGCCATCAATGGTGCTTATCTGCATATCCGGTATGGTATGGTCCTTTCCTTATTACATTGCATTGGAGAAAAATGATATTAAAAAATGAATGAATAGCAGACTTGATCTCTTGCCTATTGACATAAGTTTAGTAAATGGTTAGTATTTTTAAAATTCATGGCTTATGTCTATAATTTTGTTTTCTGAGTGTTAGTCTATATTTAAAATAATGAATGTACTTTCCAACAATGCTTATTTTACAAGTTTCAAATAATGCATGCATTAAAAAACCCATTTCACTGCTTAAAATAAAAAGAAGAAAATATCTGAAATGTTTAGGGTTTTTTAAAACACTGTATAAATGTAACATTTATGTAGGGAAAATAGAAGAGTTAAGCATATTAATGATGTTGCAAACTTTAAAATGTATGAGAATTCATATCAACATGTTTTACTGCACAAAGCAGATGATGATATTGTAAGTATCAAAATCTTAAAAACACTATAATCAAATGCAAATTAGTTTCAAGACTTGTAAACTTTTTGATGTCAAGAATACTTTCATCTCTTCATCTATACTTGCTATAACACCATGGCAGACCCTGCCACGTGGCTGGAATGCATCTAATGCTTGTTGCACACAGCCATGAAATACTAGTTTTTGGAATGGCTTTATTCAAGACTCCTGTGAAATGTAAATAAAAAGTAAAGATTAATATACCCAATAAAAATATCTTATGACTGAAAGAATGAATCTAACTTGAAAACATCTAAAACATCAGATAATTTTTGGAATCACTCTATTGCTCTTGTAAGTGCCTACATGTTTTCAGATCTAAATACAGACTGAAAAGTTTGAAATAAGTTAATTAATAATGGGTAAGCATGATTTCCCTTATTAACTTGAATTAATCATTTAACAATGATTAGGTTATAGAGCAAGCTTATTTGACTTTTAAGATTAATGCCTCTACCAAAACGTTTGTGCTTGAATTCTGAGGCCCCTCTTTTCAGTACTGTGTCTAAACTGTGATACTTTGAAATTGACTCATACTTTTTGTTTGATTAGGCAGTAATTGGTTAGGCAGCACTTTTATTGAAGATAAAAGTTTCATTGCTGATAACCTCAGTAAAGAGTTCCATGGGAACAGAGGGGAGGAAAATAAAATATCAACCTGTGATAGCTATATGAATGTGAAAGTCTAACTGCAACAAAAGTAGAAGTTTCTCTTGGACAAAAATGCAAATAATTGTGTTATTATTAATTACTGTGTGCAGTGTCACTAACCCAAGTTCTGCCATGTGTTTGACTTATGTATTGTTTCTATGTGGAGAGAGGGATGAGGGCGTTGCAATCAGAGATAGGAAGGGGAGTTACTTTGGTGTAACAGTCTGAGTTCAGCTCTTAGGAGTGTATGCCTGTGGCAGTGTGGGTCACACAAGTTTAGATCAACTGAAAGTCAATTTCCAAAAATGAGATGTTCACTCCCTCTAGATGCAACAAAATACAGGCTTCCTGAAATTCTCACAGCATTGACGATACCATTGCAATGATTTCAGAGTGCATCGGTTCATTCTGGTAGGGATTATATTACCAAATAGAAAGACTTTGGGCCTCAGGGACTGAGTCTCCATTGCCTCAAGTCTGGTAGGAAGAGAAGAGGCTACTTATATGCTGTTAGAGATAGCTAATGGCCTAACTACCATGGCAGCTTGGGCCATGTTTTGGCAAAATAATTATGTAACCTTGCCTCAAAAAAATCTATCCTTGAATAATGGAAGGATGGCCCATGTCTAGCAGTCTTTAACATTAAAAGTTAAAATTTGGAAAGTTGATCACACCTGAGAGCAATTAGCTAATAATTCCCCTGAGTATTTTAGTGAGTTCAATGTGCATGGAGTCCATATGGCCCAAGATGTTGTTTAGAAACTAGATAAAAATTAAATCAGTGGTACATTGATATTTACTCTGGTCCACAATGGTTCAACTATTCAATGATGGCAGATATACCAATACTCTTTAAATATTATTCAATCTTTGAGGATTTAATGACTTTTTTATATAACGACTTTTTCATACTCTGTGCTCTTTTTTAGGAAACCTTTCTAGTTGCCATTTGCTGACCTCTAGTTTAGCTCAAAATACAATACAGTATAATTTCTTATTCCTGTTATGCCAGAAACAAGAAGTTAACAAATCAGCTTATTCCTTTTTTGTCATCACAGTACTTTGTACTTAATAGGTGCTTATTTCAAAATTTTAGAATAAACAAACATATGGGCAAAATACCTTTAATATCTTCAAATGGTGATTACGTATAATTGAAGCCTAAAGGCTTCCCTAACCCTAACCCTAAAGGCTTCAAATAGTGATTATAGTTTTTTTCTTCCATCCTACCTCTATATTTAGACTCCAGTTACCTCTTTCATCAATATGCCATGTGTTGATATGATCAGTAAAGGTGAAACTATAATATAAAATTCCCTGTCCAAATTTGAAAAAAAAAAAAGGAAGTTGGTTTGGACTAATATATAACTGTAGGAAAGTTACAAAATACACTTGGCCTTCAGCTTCATTTGTTTTATCATAGAAGAACTGCCTTCTCACTTTGTTCATGAAGGAGGACTAATTCAGAGTTATCAATCAGGATTTTCCTGTTTACGAAGGATGGGTGACTCATTCTGATGAGAAACGTGAGTGCGCTGAACTGAGAGCTGAGATATCTGTACCACATTTAGATTTCAGATGTAAACTTGTTCACTGGTTTGATTTTCTTTAACTCCAGAGAATAGAAGGACTCTCCCCCTATTTTATTGCATGCTTCAGCATAATGGAACAATAATGCATTTTCCAGCCTACTTTATACCTCAGTTTAGGAAATGAATTAAAGTTATGCTTAGAAAAAAAGTAATATAAATAAAAATGAAATATATGTATGCATTTATCTATGGCCTACAATGTAGGAGCTTTGAAATAAGTGAAAAGTCATCTGTTAGTGCTCTTTACACCTGCATTTCACATGTTACTGAGAATGAAGCAGATAAAACCAGTATGTTAGTATAAGAAAGGAGATATTATGTTTATGTGAATTAGACTAACTCTTCTAGGGATAAACATTAGGTATATGTCTGTAATTAAATAGAATTTAAACAGAGCTTCAGTAACATCCAGTCCTATGATCTTATAATCCATTCATGGGTGCACTACGACCTGTGAAGATGAGAAGAGAGACTGGCATCCACAAACATCCCCATGTGATGGAATCAGAACTGAAAAAGATATGCAGGTACACAGTGAGGACGGTTGACAACACAGCATTTTTAATCTGTAACTATAGAAAACATTTTATATAAGCTCTCTAATGGAGGGATTATAGAAATACATTTAATAATAGTGTACTTTTGTGTACTTACTGTGAAAATAGCACATTTATTTAGAGGGATTTTATGCCCAAAGTTCTTGTTGATGTTTTGAAATACATCCATTTCCTTTTCTTGTAGTAACTGTTACCGAGAAAAGCAAAAGTATCAACCGTTTTCCATGACTCCTCCTCAAGAGTCTTCTCCTTTTGATTGGTATTTCCCAGAGTCATCCAGAATGTTCACATCAGTAAAATATTCTATAAAAGCATCAGAGTTTGTGTACTGTGAAGTGCCTACATTTGTCTGCATTCATGTCTTGTGCACATGGCCTGTCGTTCAATTCTCCACGTGCCTTCCTCATAAGTACAGTGACATATGGTGCATTCATCAGTCTTTACTTCCCTCCCAGCAGGTATGACAGCAGTTTCTGCAAAGCAGTTTGGACCTGAAATGCAGAAGAATGTTTTACACTGTGTGTGTCTATAAATATATCATGTGACAATTAAGTAGTTAGCATTATAGTATATATTTTATTCACTCTTTTCATGAAGGACAGTAGAAAAGTTGTAACTTCAGTAATAAGAAGGATCTGCACTTTTCTGAAATGAAACCGGTGTTATTTAAAATATTTACAAGAAGCAACTGCGACCATTTCAGGGCCTTATACACAGGCCAAATCTGCAACCATTTGGCTTAATTAATTCTAAATAATCACAGAAAAATTAACCAGGACCTTCAATGAACCAGTCTTATTCTTCATAACGTTTTTAGCAAAGAGCTTAATAAAACGAACTGCTTGAAGTGACATAAATGCAGTGACCCTTCCAGACCTCTTGGGGCAGGTTTCCAAACTTTCACATACAACCAAATGACCTGGAGGGCTGTGGAAAGCACTGCCTGCAGGTCACACTGCTAGAGATCTGACTCACTAGGTTTGGGATGGGGCCTGAGAATTGGTTTTGGTAAGAACCCAGGTGATGTGGATGCAACTGACTTTGGAACCCATTTTGAGAAGCATCGTCTTAGTGTGTATCAGGGTATATTTTCCACAATCTTCCATAAGAACTCAGAATCTCTGTAATGCTCAATCAGCAACACCAACTATAAGCTTGTCAGTCAATAAAGGTGTCACATCTGTGCTTTATGTATAATGTCAAGGACATGAAGAAATAAGCATCAAAAAGATTTCAAACGTGAGATGAAACAAATGTTTAAAAATAAAAAAGATTAACGGCTTCATGCTATGGCTCATACATGTACACCTGATTCAGGTTTGCCTCCAAAATCTGAACACCAGTAATCAATGCATCCTAAATAAGGGCCCCAACTTTGAGCTTCAGCAGGTTGCCAAAATTCTCATTCTCCCTCTTTCTTCTCCTTTGTCTTTGATAATGTGCTCACAACCAAAATTTAATTGCAATATGTGAAGTCATCAAAGAGATGACAAATGTTCATCTGCAAAATTTTAAAAATAATTTAACAAACACCAGGATAAAAACTGGCATTTTTATAATTCTAAGCAGAATAATTCATGTTTTAGGGGTGGTTGTTTTCAAGTCTTTCAAGTTGGTAAACGATAGCAGCTTCTGAACGCCATGCTCTGCACATGGCTCCCTGCATGTGCCTGCTGCCTTCCTTCTCCCTGAACTGTTTTCTTCTTGTCCTAATATTCCGCCCTTGACTTCTTTCCTTTTCTTTTCACTCAGACAATGCAACACTTTAGCAATCATTCATCTGTCAATGACTCCCAAATTATAGTTCCAATATTATCCCTCTTGAGCACCAGTCCTGTGTTTCCAGAGGGCAGCTGTCTGCATTGCCTACTGATACCAGATTTATCGTGTCTGGACCCAGTGTCTCTTGCACCTACCATCTGAGGAGTTGTCTTTATGTTAAAAGACACTCATCCATCTCTGGTGAATTGCAGTACTTTAAATTTAAGACACTCTCCCTACCTGATGGTCCCAACATGATACCCCAGTACTCCCTGTACTCCGTCCTCCCCAGTCTCTCTCTATACTTCAGCTACTGCATTCCTCGGTCTAGAATTATTTCTTCTCAGCTTTATAAGGGCAATGCCCAACAGTGCCACAGTGTCCATTCAAGTGGGACCTTTATTGTAAAAGCTTCCCCAGTTGGCCACACTGTCCTGCTCAGCACATGAGATGCTGTGAACTTTACTTTTGGTTCGAGCTCTCTTTTGCATGCCTTTTCTGATTTTTTTTTTTACAGAGTTAAGTTTGAGGACACAATCTGTATCTGGTTCATTCTAGTATCTGTCAGTGTGCTTTGCACATAGAAGGCATACCACAATTGACTAAAACACCTGTATCTTTATCCTTATAGGTTTTGTCTCCAGACAAATCTGGATTAAAAATCTGGTACTGCTACCTAATAGTTATGTGATCTTGAACTAATTGTTTTGTGCCTTGATGAGAATAACATACCTCACAGGATTTCATGGGGACTAGACTAGTTAAGACATAGCATGTGCACTATACTTATTCTACAAACGCTAGCAGAAGTTCTTGCTCGAATTAATCTATGTCAGCATAATAGTCACATGTAGTGAGTTTTTTAGGGTTATTTGTGTATCTTTTTTTATGTCATGTAGAATTTTGGATCTGTATTTTTCAATGTTTTGCAACCCATTGAAGCCTTTATTCTTTTTGATGTTCAAACTGTCTACAACTGGCTAAATGGGAGGCCTTGAACTTCAAAGCTGGCTCTGTTGTCCTTTTGACACACCCTTTCAGTCCCCAAAAGCTTTTTTTTTTTTTTTTTTTCATTTCTGAACCAAGAAGATACATTCAGTTTAGCTTGCCCATATCTGGAATTAGCATTTTCTCCAAGAGACCCTGATTCCTTCTGGTGGAGAATAGGTTTAGAACCAAGACCTGGACATCAAATAGGCACATTATACTGGGGTGGCATCACTTCTAGGCATTTTCAGTGGACACAGATAGGGACACACACACACACTTTTTAAAATGATAAGTTTATAATAATTATTATAATTCAAAATTTGTCTACTTAGATTTCATATATTAATATCTTTGCTCTTACAATAAAAAACTTTAAGTTGAACATATTTATTTGATTGATCCTACTTTTTACTTCTTAGATTTTAGTTTATCTCATTTTACACTGACACTTTTTAATTAAAAACTTTAACATATCCACCTATTTTACATCCTACTACTACATAAAATTTTACAATAAAATGTAATTTCTAGTTTAAATTTTACAATAAAATGTAATTTCTAATAAATTACAAATATATATCATTTGCAGTTTTTATAGTCAGCATATTTTGTTTAAAAGTCACTTACCTCTTCTCTGAGTGGCTGTATTGTCAGTGACATAGTTAGGTCCATCTGTTCCCACTTATCCTCCCAAACCCATTCCTACCGTGCATGTTACCTCCTACCTCCAGCCATTATAGTAATTGTTCTTAGTCATTTCTAATGTATCCTTTCAGTATAACTTTTTAAAAGAATAAGCAAGTTATTTCCTCATATTTCTTTCACAAAAGGCAGCATACTTCTTAACTTTATGTACTTTGCTTTTTTTTTTTTTCACTTAAAAACATGTCCCAGCTGATTATTCCATGTCGGTACACAAAGACAGTCTTTATTTTTTGTGGCTCTATTGTGTGCATTCACCATTGTTTATTCAATATGTACTCTATGTTGGGACTTTTGAAACTGATGCCTTTGTGTATAGGAGATACATAAATGCTTAGTGCATTGTTTATCGTCTGTTTCAGGCAAGAAAGAGATATAGAAATGATGGGAATTTATTAGTAAAACCCGTATGTATGAAGAAAAGCAAAATGCCAACAAAAACATCAAGTGTTCAAATGATTTAAAACATACAATCTTAGAGGCAGAAAGCAACAATTTACATTCTCTTTGATATAGGAAAGTGTTTTTGTCATACACTTTCAGCTGTAGCTATATAAAAATTTATCTCCCTATCATTGCTAAATGAATAATGAGAAGAAATATTGATTCTGGGTTTTCCCTGAGTCACAGATGGCACTACAAGCATTTGGACTATCAGAGGTTTTTCTCTCAGGGTTGTGATTTTAAAAAAGGGTAATCCTATCTTGTTGATAAGAACTGTGTAATAATATAATTTATTAAATCTTTGACAGTTGTTTAATACTGACTATAGTCTTTGGCCCTTTTTTCTCCAAATATATTATAGAACTGCCCTGCTGAATATGCTGGGCAGCCTTCAGTAAGCTCTTGCTTACACGGTACAGTTGAGGAAAAGGAGGGGCAATTGTGTTTCAAATATGTGGTAGAAATGTGGAGCCTGAAAGAATTTCTAAAATAAGCCTTCTTATTTAAAATGATTTTAAGAGCTCATTCAGACAACTGTTAAATTAAAATTATATGCCATGTTGCTATTTTTCCTACTTTAAATATCTAGTTATGATATAGTCAAACAAGTTAATTTTCTTGTAAATTCTTTGTGAATCAAGATTTAGGAACCACATAAAAGTGTTTGGTAAGTTATAAAAACTTAACTAAAATATAAATTTAGATTTTACAGCAGATTCCAGTTACTGAAATTTTCTAAAGCCTTAAGCATTCTTTTTTTTTTTGAGTTGGAGTCTCACTCTGTCGCCCAGACTGGAGTGCACTGGCCGCTCCTGGCCACCGCAGCCTCGACCTGCTGGGCTCTGGCCATCCTTCCGCCTCAGCCTTCCAAGTAGCTGGAATTACAGGCATGCGCTACCACGTTCGGCTGATTTTTTTGATTTATTGTAGATATGAGGTCTCGTCAAGTTGCCTAGGCAGGTCTCGAACCCGTGGGCTCAGGCAATTCACTCACCTCAGCCTCCCAAAGGCACGGGATTACAGGCTGAGCCACCGAGCCCGGCTATAAGCAGCATTCTTAATAAATCAACCAAGTTGTGAGACTTTCAACCAAATCCCTCTGAACACACATATCTACACATACACACATTTATTTACTTTATGAAATATATCACTTTTTAAAAAGTGTTCTTAATTTTGAAATTATATATTTAAATCAACCCAGAAAGTTGCAAAGATAGTAAAGATGAGACTCATGTACCTTTCACTCAGTTTCTGCTAATAGTTACATCTTACATAATTATATAATGATACAAAAAGAGAAACTGGTAAGGTATGATGTGTGCACATAGGTCTATGTTATTTGATCACATACATAGCTTCATGTGATCAGCAATCCAACCAAGATGCAGAATTGTTTCATTACCCCAAAGACCTCTCTCTGGTCTCCCTGTATGGCCACACTGCTGCTCTTTCTGCTTTACCATCCTTAATCCCTCAGAACTGCAAATATGTTTTCCACATCTACAGTCTTGTCATTAAAAGAACGTTATATAAAAAGGAATCATATAGTAAGCAGCCTTTTAAGTTTAGATTTTTAATCTCAGCATAATTATCTGGAGATCCATCCAAGTTGTGGCCAGTACCAACAGTTCAATCTTTTTTACAGAAACTGCCCAGCTGTTTTCCTGAGTAGCTGTAAAATTAACATTCCAGCCAGGGATCCAGTTTATTCACATTCTTACCAGAATTCAGTCTTGCCACAAGTTTTTGTTTTGGCTGTTCTAATAGATATGTTTGATAGGCTAGGTTTTAATTTGCATTTCCCTAGTGGTTGGTGATGATCACCCTTTCATTTGTTTATTTGCCATTTTATATCCTCATTGGTGAAAGGACTCATCCTGTACTTAGCCAATATTTTGTTGAATTTTGTGTTTTTTATATGTTCTAGTGGTTTGCAAATATTTTCTCCGAGTTCATAGCTTGTCTTTTTTATTGTTTTAAGAGGGTCTTTCACAGAGCAAAAAGTTTTGTATTTTAATGAGGTCAAATGTATCAATTTTCTATTTTATAGAGCATACTTTTGACATCCTGCCTAATAACTCAAGAAGTCCTATGTCCTAAAGATTTTTTCTTAGCTTATAATGTACTATAATTTTATAGTATTTATTTAAATCTATGACCCATTTTGAGATAAATGTTGCATAAAAAGCTATCACAAACCCAAGGGTATCTAGATTTTGTCTAGGAGTTTTATAGTTTTGTGATATACATTTAGGTATATGATCTATTTTCAGTTAATTTTTGAAGGGAGTGAAATATGTGTCTAGACTCACTTTTTCTCATGTGGATATTCAATTATTTTGGTATCATTTGTTGAAAAGACTATCTTTGCTCCATTGTCTTGCCTGTGCTCCTTTGTCCAAAGATCAGTTCAGCCTATATTTGTATGAGCCTGTTTCTGACTCTATTTTGTTCCATTGGTCTATTTGTCTATTCTTTTGCCAATATCACAGTCTTGATTACTGTAGCTTTATATGAGGTCTTTTTTTTTCTTTCTTTTATTTTAAACGTAAGGCACAATTCAGGATTAGGTATACAAGTGGACATTGTACAGGAAAAGTTTAGGCTTACCTTTGGTCCCCAATTTGCCTGGTTTGAGACTGGATACCCTTATTGATGCTGTGTTGCCCCCAAAGCCCACCATGGTAGTATCCCACTACTGCCAATTCCTTTCTTACAATATTATAGTAATGTTCAGGGTGTACTTATGAGTGAGAACATGTGGTACTCTGTTATTTATTTCTGTGATAGATTAATGAGTGTTATTGACTCTAAATCCATCCAAGTTGCTGCAAAGTGCATATGTTTGTACTTCTTTATGGCTGTGTAATATTCCATTGCATATATGTACCACATTTTATTTTTTACCCAGTCTGGATTCGATGGGCAGCATGTTTAGTACCATGTTTTTGCTATTGTGAATAGTGTTGCAGTAAACATGCATGTGCAGATACCTTTTTTGTAGAATGAGGGAGATTGCTGGGTCATACGGAAGGTCAATTTCTAGTTCTCTTAGAAATCACCACACTGATTTCCATAGAGGTTGAACTAGTTTGCATACCCCCAGCAGTCTAGAAGCAATTCCTTTTCTCTGCATCCTCACCAGCATCTGGTACTGTTTGTTTTATCAATGATGGCCATTTTTACTGGGATTAAGTGGTATCTCAATGTGGTTTTGATCTGCATTTCCCTGATCATTAGTGAGGCTGAGCAATTTTTCATGTGTCTGTTGGCTGCCCATATATCTTCTTTTGAGAAGTATCTACTCAAGTGTTTTGCCCACTTTTTATTTTATTTTATCTTTCTTTTTATAATTTTATAGATGTGGGGTACAATTCAGGGTTAGGTATACAAATATTTATTATGCAGGTATCCCTGTTGATGAGATATGCCCCTCCCTCCCCTGGCAGTTTCCCTCAACTGCCAATCCCACGCCATCTCCCCTGGCATTTTCCCACTACTGCCAATCCCTTTCTTATAGTATTATGATAATTGATCAAGGTTTGCTTATGAGTGAAAACATATGGTACTCTATTCTTTGTTTCTTTGATAGATCACTGAGTATGATAGACTCTAAATCCATCCAAGTTGCTGCAAAGTCCATATGTTTGTCTTTTTTATGGTGGCATAATATTCCATTGTGTATATGAACCACATTTTTTTTTACCCAGTCCAGTTTCAGTGGGCAGCATGGTTGGTTCCATGTTTTTGCTGTTGTGAATACAGCTGCAACAAACATGCGTGTGCAGTTATCTTCTTTGTAAATTGATTTGAGATCCTCCTGGTATATTCCCAATAGAGGAATTGCTGGTTCATGTGTCTGTTGGTTGCTGGTATATCTTCTTTCAAGAAGTGTCTATTCATGTCTTTTGCCCACTTTTTAATGGGGCTGTTTTTATTCGTTTCAGTGTATTTGAGTTCCTTGCAGATCCTAGATGTTAGGCTCTTGTCAGATATACAGTTGGCAAATATTTCTTCCCATTC